TCCTGTTCGAGGCCGTTAGTTCTGCGATAGATGTGTTGGCCGCAGCTGGTAGGCCACGGAGGAAAGGTTGCAGATGATCCGACCTGGAACTACAAGGCAAGCATCACCGGGTAGCACCAGCCCAGGACGGATTCATATTTGACGGGGAAGAAACAAGGCCAGCGAGCTGGATGATCCTGGGTTGAGAGATCGCAGGATTCGGGGGGGGAGGTGGAGGTGGATGTGGTGATGATGACGATGATGTTTAGTGTTTGTTTGTGGGGGTACACCAGGTCGATCGAGAGAATCGGGAGTCTGTGTGTCTTGAAGGAAGATCGGACCGAAACAGCCCGTCGGTGAAGGAAGAGAAGAGAGATCGATCGATGAGTCTGACCGGGATGAGAGGGAGAGAGAGGAGAAGAGTGAAAGGATGGTGGAGAGAGGTAGGAGAGGTTGTGAGGGGAAGTAGAGTAGAAAGTAGTAAAGAGAGAGAAACAAACGAGGTCAACAAGTCAGGCGGAGTGGGGGCCTAGACTGTGAGGCAGCGGACCAGGGGTTGTCATTAGTTCACTACCTACTAGTCTCTTCACGCTCGACCTTCTCTCCTCAGCTCTCAGCTCACTCATGATCTATTTCCAATTCAAATATACAGAGTCCTGTCAATATCTGATATCTGATCTATTCTATCATCTTTGTTCCCTAAAAATGAGGGGAAGAGATCAGACCAGTCAGTTGTTCTTTACCGATGACGACGAATGATTCCATGGTTTTAGGTATCAATTGGGAAGGGCTGCAGATGTGGGCCTCTCCAGCTACGTCCGATGTTTAGTACATTTCATGGGTACCAATCAATCTTCTGTCATTTATTATCATTCTTGATTGATCATGATCTTGATTTAAATTTTAATAGGATCATGACCTCCTACCCATACTGATTGAGGGGAAGCACTATATATGACAAAAGACATGGACTCCATGAGCTGGAGTCATCCTTTGCTACGATGATTATTCCAATGGTTTGAATACAGAGCTCGTCATAATGGAATACTCTAATATCAACAGGGATACAAACGGTAATGCAACATACCGAGTAATCTACATCAATGGTTCACGACTGGAACTTTCTCTAGCGGCCGACAGATCCGACTCCCGCCGACTCCGACCTTGATTCTTTCATCATCTTCAATCAATTCAATTGTATTGTATTTCAGATCATCCGCTCATCCTCCCCATCCCTCCACAGACGCAAGGGAGTGTTGATTGTGGCCCGGAATTCCTCCCCTAAATCCTTTGAGCCTGACCAACGGGAAGTCGGTCATTCATTCTCCGATACTTCAAAAGTCCGGTCCCCAGGTACGCCAGGAAAGAAAGAAAACAAAAAGTCAGTTGGGAGGTGTCCCAAGGAACCAAGTCAGCAATGGCTCCACCGGGCCCTTTGTTGGCACTCTCCGCTCTGGTGAACACCACGCCCCACTTTTTCCCATGTGTAAGACTCTTATCTCTGAAACTCCATCTAGAAGGGAGAGGGGGAGAGAGAGAGAGAGAAGGTGCTATATGCACGCATTACATCGGAATTCAAACCCATCAAGACATCTCTCCTAAGAATTCTAGGAAAAATCCCCATCTTGCAGCACGGGAGCTTAACCTTGCGTTAGTTTTTGAAAACAAGAAACAGACTGGTATTATTTCGGTATCATTGAAGACACCCACACTGATCGGTAGCAAATGGACCTCATGGCAGCTGTTACCCTGTTCGGCGAATTCATCATGACTGACTGTTTCATGCTCAACTATCAACGAATATCTCAGTCTGTCTATAACCAAGACACTACGGATACATACTAGATATACACGGTGGTTTCATCCTGTTTCCCTCGTCTCCCAAATGGAGGGTGCAAGGGAGAATTTCAGGACCAGGACAGACTGTGGACAGTGGAGCAATGTTGGGGGACTAGCTCGTTCGGGCGACTGTCGTTGGTGCGGAATCCGGCCTGGATGTGCTGTACACTCCTCTCAAAACCGGTTGTACAACTGGCCGGACTATTCCAGATTCATTCCGTACATTCTCCTTTCTCGATCCTCCAGGAATGTAATGATCCTACGGCCCACTGCCAACTCAACTTTAATCTATCAAGGATATCTACGACTCCAATATTATCCTGTTGGTTGGTATTGTATTTCACGGTAATTCCCGCCTGACAGATCATTCGGTCTGGGGTCACACCGCTTCCTCATTTCTGTCCTTGCAGTATCTTGATCAAGATGATAGGTCTGATGTTGATATATATATAGAATAAAATATATATTAATATATCAATACAAGTATATACAATAATAACCATAAGATACAAATTATCAATGTATAATCAAATATATTAAATATAACAGTATTATATGTAACATGGTTAGCGTCGGCGCCCTTTCTAGACCACCGCCCGTTCCATCGATCGGCTCGACTATTCATTCTCGTATGGATCTTCCTCGACGAGTCTATTTTCTTCTTTCTGGGAATAGTCAGGAACAGACTGCTGATCGACATTGGGATTCTCCTCTTCTGGCCTTGAACAACAATGGTTGACCCACTTACCCACTGATTCCACACACAATGGTTTTGAGTCTTACCGGCTTTTGACAGTATGTCTCGTCCTATACTACCTTACCTAGATAGCCTGCTGACTGAATTCTCACCGGTATTCTATCAATCTCGTCCCAAATTCCAATTCCAAATGTTTTGGTCCGACTATCAAATCTGACAGAATCCCACCGGGATATTACCACTAAAGCCTGACTGACTGCTCAATCCTTGGCGGGTCTCAGTCCAATCTATCCCGCACAACAATCATACCCTTCTTCGCCCGCCACCCGTCGGCCCGTCGGGTGTTGCCTCCTCGCATCCGTCCAGGATAAGTCGACCTGGGTCCTGTCCTGCACCTTAATCAAGATGTAATCTGCGATGGGGGAGGGATGGTCTTGCCTCGTGTGAGACCGCCTTTCTGGAAGGATTGTCTCGAGATATCACATCTCGATCGGCCTGGGATTGGTGGCTGGGCAGATTGACGATCATCATGGGTGCTGGTTGGGGTTGATGTTGATCAGTTGATAGACCGTCGGCTGGGTCTATCTATCGAGTGAGCACACTGAGGATGAGGACGTGTCTTAGGACGGGGATAGCTTGCGGTTGGGAATACAACCCATCGCACGCATACTACAGAACATCCTGTCTACTGAACTCACCTCAATGGGAATCTTTCAATAGTCAGTCCCTCATCCTCACAAATCCTCGCGATCGGCCGAAACATGATCATCCGCCCACCCGAGTTGACGGAGCACCCCGCTGAAACACTAGAACAGACATGACAGACCCAACCAACAAACGTATTGTCTTTTGATACATCATCCGCCACAGTCTTCAATCTAAGTCACGCTTCATATCAACCATCTCTCCTGTCCTCCCATGTGAAACAGGCCCGACCCTTCCAACAATGGCCCCAACTCCCCAGGTGCCGACTGAGGAATGTGGCGAGTGGGGTCCCCTGTCTCACTTCAAAACACCGCCTCGCGACCAGCACGGTCGGGTCTAAAATTAGTGTCTATCGCTCGAAGTGCCTCCTTGTCGCTGACAGACTGACTGACTGACTGACTGACCGTCTGACTGGACTGGACGGGCTCAGTAGATCGAAGGGCGAACTCCAGATTAAGTTACCAGGAGTATCCCGGTCATGCATGAAATTGGATACGAGCTGAATGTGCTGCACCAGGCTGACGGAGACTGGGGGCGGAGATACTAATCAACAAGTAGAACCTTTTAGATCGGGCTTCACATTGTGGTGCGATTCTCGCCCAGCATTCCGGATTGGGATATCTCATCTAATATCTGGAGTGTAGCCATCGTGGTCGAGTGCGCGCACGATGGAATACCCCGTAGAACGCACATGGACTCCATACATCCACCCACCACTTCCCCCATTATACCCCCCTTGTTGTCGCGGAAGCATCTACCCACAGGGTATGCCTCCCAAACGCACCAATGTCCCAGACATACAGCGTGCTCATTTCCGCCATACCATACCGACTTGCAACCTTGTCTACCCTTCACCTAGTACAAATCCAGAAACAGAGGAATGGGAATGGACACCCACCGCTCGCCGAGTCCGTGCTGCTGGATTAAAGGACAGCCAACCCCACTCGTCGTCAGTGTTGTGTCTTACCTTTCTTTGTTTGTAGTGATGTGAGCTGTTGGTGTGTTGAGCAACGTGGTTGGTGGGTCGTGGTCGAGTGCGGTTTCTTGCACGCTGGGCATTAGGTTCTTGTTTGTAGGCTTGTTTGGTATATTGTGCCTACTTGTTGGGGTCTGGAGGGTGAGTTTTTGTGTCTGTTTGAGGGACGGGTTGACAACTGTCATGCTTTGACCCTGGAGAGAATGTAGTGAGTCAAACGGGACCGGAAACGGTCAGCGCATACATAGCTGTAGAAACTTGTTTTACTGTTTGCGATAGCCTGTTGGTCTGGTGGTAACGTGCACTGTAGTCTGTACCGTCGATTATATATATCATAATTGTGTACATTGTATATACTTAGAACATCTATCCTAACATGACACTCTTGGGGGATTTTTGGATATGCTCAACTCAGCAGGATAGATCCATGGACACCTGTTTCCGTTGTAGTTATTCATTGTTGAGATATATATTGTCGTTGATGGTCTTTATCTAATGTACTAATCTACTGATCCTTATCAATTACATCACAACTAGCAAACTAATTCACAGTCTTTCCTCCTCTTTACATTATCATTTCTTTTGCTTTTCCTTTTTCTATCTACAATAGTACACAAGATCTGGTCATCCAAGAAATTGAAACAATATCGATGATTGTAGATGTATTGAATCGGTCGAGAATTTCCCCTTTCAGCCATCCGCGTTCCGGCGCGCGTCTCAACGCGTTCCGTCGGGCATTTCAATCCTCCATCAACCTTTTCCACTCTATACAACCCATAAACAAACCCAGTATACCTTATACTACTCAATTAACCCCGCTATAATCCCCAACCTCAACCCCCAAATCTACAGCATCAATGGTCAATGGGCAAAAAGAGAAAGAGACCCGTCAAGGACGGTCAATTCCGCCCCGCCGGTCTGTCACAGCCATCCTCATCCACCACGGCTCCTGAAACCACCGTCGGTTCTGGAAACAATGAGGCGGTCTCGAAAATCTCGGGCGATTCTTCCCGGCTCCTGTCGCATCCTGTTCTGACTCTGTACTACAATCGCGTTGTTTCTTTGAGACAGTACCTTCTGAGCCAGATTCCTGTGGCTTCTAGGTCGAGGCGGCGGAGGATTGCCTCTATCGGCAGTAGGACTACCAGGGGTATCCAGGTGGGCAATAGCAACGATTCCGATAACGGGCTTGCGGCTTTCTTGGATACTACCCTTGTGGGTGTGTTGAAAGAGACGCCTCCTACGATTAGCCGGGAGCGACAGCGGGATCTGGTCGCCTTCTCCCAGTCCCAGTCGCAGTCACAGTCGAAATCTCAACTCTCAAACTCTGATAGCGGGTCATCTTGCGCACAAGCAGAGGTATGTCGGACGGCTCTTTATTATTTTTACCTCCTCCCATTCGCTGCCCTGTTGCACTTTCAAACCCAGACTGGCTGGCATGTGTACCTTGTCCCATGTGCCTGTCGACCTTGCATCCCCAATACTCCCCGTAGCGACACAGTGTACCACATATCTTGCAGAACTAATTCCACCCAGATAGTCGACTTCGTCATCACCGTTCTATTCAATCGGAATGGCGTCTCGTATCGAAAGCCCCAGCATCTGCTGACCCATGGGTACCAACGTGCCACGGGGTTTCTCCCCGCGGGGAACAATACCGCTCCCGCGTGCAGTATACCTGGCCTTGTGGCGCGCTTTCCTAACCAGAATGTTGTGGCGCTCAAGCAAGCTCCCTGGACGGAGGTTCTTGGTCTCTTGGGGAGTAATGGGGATGAGATTATGCTGAGGCTTTTGCTGGATTGTGGTGTGTTTGTGTCTATTGATACTTGGAAGGGGATCTATAATCAAGTTAGCGGTATGTTTGTCTGGATGCACGCGATATATATGCGTTTGTTGATTTGTGATTAGGCCTCCCGCTGTCTGATCTCGACCCTGTAGAGAAAGAGACAGCAGCAGAGGTGGTGGGCCCTGGTCCGCAGGGTACTGCCGCGCCAGCTGCCACCGGGAAAAAGCAGCTCACGGCGAAAACAAGTAAAGCAACACCAGTGCCATCTGTACAGCGACCAAACAGTGTTGTATTCCTTCGTCGACGCATGCTCTACGCCCGTCCGAAGCTGACCTCCAAGGGGAAGATCGACTCCGGCCTGACAAGTCTTCGTGAGTGTTCCGCAGAGGTCCATAAATAGACCAGTACTAACGGCGATAGACGTCCTAAACCGATACCAAAACAGAGACTCACTCGAAGAGACGGTGCACGTCTTGAAGTATATCTTCCCTAGACAGTTCGGCCTCCACAATGTGTTCACTTCGCACGCTGGCCGTGAAACGACCCTCCCCTTCACGGACTACTCCGCTCGCGAAGACGAGATCGCTCGACTAGAGAATCAGAAACAGATCCGGAATCCGCGACTGAAACTCAACAGCACCTGCGCAGAGGGCCACCGTGCCGAATTTCCTCCCAAGGTTCCAAAAAGGCTGCGAGGTGAAGCCGTGGCGCTGGTCCGGCAGATGCGGAACCGTCATAAACGGTGTTCGTATCTACATCTGCTAAACTATTATTGCCCCGAAGAGGTATGTCTCAGACTCTGTATCCTACGGCTAATGCTGACTTGCTTAGGGTACTGGTCCCTGGTCTCTCGGGCCTGCCAACTCCCAAAACAGTGGACCGCCATCGTCGACGACAGAGCCGTTGATAACCCAGCCACAGGCTGCAGCCGCACAAATTCCAGACGAGGAACTCCCGACGAACCCACTGCCAGACACAGCAGTCCCAAAACCCAAACCCACCCTCACCGACCACGCTACTCTCCCTTCGTCGGTGTCCGCTTTCTGCCGAGCAGTGCTCCGAAAGCTGATCCCTGTCGGGCTCCTGGGTAAGGACGACAACGGAGCATCTAACCTAGACATTGTCCTTGGCCACGTAGATCGCTTTATCCGCATGAGACGCTACGAGAGTCTGAGCCTACACGAAGTATGCGACGGCATCAAAGTCACTACTATCCCTTGGCTCCAGCCTCCAACCTCGCACGGCAAAATATGTCTCTCAGATCTGCACAAGCGGACAGACCTCCTTCACGAAATAGTCTACTATATCTTCGACTCGCTCCTCATCCCGCTCGTCCGCGGAAACTTCTACGTCACAGAGTCCCAAACACACCGGAACCGGCTCTTCTACTTCCGCCACGACGTGTGGCGCCGGCTAACCGAGAAGCCTTTCGCCGACCTCAAGTCTTCCATGTTCGAGGAACTCAAGTCTGACAAAGCCACGCGCGTGCTGGAGAACCGCTCGCTGGGATACGGCTCGCTGCGTCTCCTTCCCAAGGCCAACGGCGTCCGGCCGATTCTGAACCTGCGCCGCCGCATGCTAGTCAAGACCAACCGGGGCGGACGGGCGGGCCAATACCTCGGCTCGAGCATTAACTCCACGATCACGCCCATCCAGGGCATGCTGAACTACGAGAAGACGCGTCAGCCGGCGCAACTAGGCGCGTGCATGTACTCCGTCGGCGAGATACACTCTCGCCTCAAGGCGTTCAAGAATACCCTGGTACAGAACGGACAGCTGAGCCGCACCCACCAGCCACGTCTGTACTTCGTCAAGCTGGATATCCAATCCTGCTTCGACACCATCCCCCAGCAGAAGCTCGTCCGGCTCATCGAGGAACTGGTCTCCGAGCAGGCATACCACTTCACAAAACACGCCGAAGTCCGACCCGCCGACGAATTCAACACCCTCTGGCCGCGCAAAGAGGCGCAACCCCCGCGCGCGATGCGCAAATTCGTCGGCAGAGCCGCCCCCGCTGCGAAACCCACACCCCTCGCTGAAACCATCGCCGCTGGCGGGGCCAGCCACCGCCGCAACACGGTCTTCGTGGACACGGTCGGCCAGCGCGACTGGAACACGGAAGATCTGCTGGACCTGCTGGACGAGCACGTGCGGAATAACCTCGTCAAGCTGGGCAAGAACTTCTTCCGCCAGCGACGAGGCATCCCGCAGGGGTCGGTGCTCTCCAACCTCCTGTGCAATATGTTCTACGCGGCGATGGAGCGCGAGGTGCTGGGATTCTTACAGTCGGAGGAGGCGCTACTCCTGCGGCTAGTCGACGACTTCCTGCTCATCACCTCCCGCCCGGACCTCGCCACGCGCTTCCTAGAGACCATGATCCGCGGCCAGCCCGCGTACGGGATAACAGTGAACCCAAGCAAAAGCCTAGTCAACTTCTCTGCATCAGTCGACGGAAAGCACATCCCCCGTCTGGTAGACACCTCGCGGTTCCCATACTGCGGGAGTCTCATCGACACGCGCACGCTGGAAATCTACAAGGACCAAGACCGCCTGCTAGACGGGGAAGAGTCCGCCGCAGCGAATCTGTGCAACTCGCTAACGGTGGAAACGACGCGCGCGCCCGGCCGTGCCCTCCACCGGAAGGTGCTCGCCTCCTTCAAGCTCCTCATGCACCCGATGTACCTCGACACAGCGCACAATTCGCTCGCCGTCGTGCTGAGCAACCTTTACTCGAATTTCATCCTTTCGGCCATGAAACTGTACCGCTATATGCGGCTGCTACCGGCGCGGACGCAGCCCGGTCCAGGGGTCGTGGTGCGAACTATCCGCGATGTATCGCAGCTGGCGCATCGGTTGGTGCAGGCGCGGCGTCCTGACGGGGGTGGGAGGGCCTCCGGGGGGTGTACGGTGCCGCAGGCGCAGATTGCGTATTTGGCGGCGGCGGCGTTTCGGTTTGTACTGGTGCGGAAGCAGACGCGGTATGGGGTGGAGCTGGATTGGTTGGGGAGGGAGTTGAAGCGGACGAGACCGAGGGCGGAGGGGGCGTGGTTGCGGCTGGGGCGGGTGGTGAGGCGGGGAGGGGAGTTGTATGGAGGATGGCGGTTCTAATCACATGTACTGGGGTGAGGATGATGTCATGGGGTGGTAGGATATAGGGTATAGGTCATATGTGGTGTGTGTTGTATTGGATTATGTTATGATAGAAGAAGGGGATGCGATCTGTTATGGTGGCGACTGACTAGCGGGATTGGCTGAGCTAGGGTGGATCACAATGTAGGTGTAGGATTGAATCGAGGTGTATGTAAAAATGACATTCTCTTTCTGATTTGTTTCCGATGAGAAGTAATATAGTACCACTAATTCTATTGGAATTGATTTAATAATTGTCAATCTCCCATCGCGATGTCCACTATATATTGCAGTAATATAGTGATCTATAAATAGATCGATCGGGCAGACCCGGTGGGAGACCGAGAGAGGGAGAACCAGACCCAAGAGAGCACATACCACGGGACGAGAGTATGGGGAGAAAGGGGGAGGCGAATAACCATGTAAACATGACTCTTGATCCATTGGATATACGGAGCAGAGTAGGATGTAAAGTAGAGTCAGTAAAGTCGAGGAGAGGAAAGTAAAGAGAGGGTCCTCAGGTGTCTGTTGTGGCTGTGCATAAGGATCGTGGCTGGCCAGCGAACGGCCTCGTTCTGAAACACTAGATATAAACAAATAATATAGACTAGAAATATAAAAAGAGATGCAATCAGAATCGAGAAGACTGAATAGAATAATACAATCGAGAAGAGCAGGCTAGAACGGATCATCATCTCCGGATTCAGCACCACATGGGGCCTCAGGCTGCACTAGCCGCATCCATCGTCCTCCTTTTCTTCTCTCACTTCTTTCTCTCTTTCGCTTCTCTCTCTCTCTCTCTCACCTCACTCTTCTTTTCTTCTCTTGACCTCTCCTCCCTCTCTTCTTTTCTCTCTCTTTGTCTCTCGTTTCTTTCCTTCATCTCTTCATCTCTCACTCCCAATCCCATTCGTTCTTTCCCCCTACCCTCCTCCTCCTCCCCCCCTCCTCCCTCCCTGCGTCCCTCGCTTGTCATTCCTTTCCCCCCTTCATTTCGGCTTCTCCGGCCATAAGCCCCCCCAATACTCCGTACTAGCCCCCCCATACCCTTCGACTCCCTCGGTCTGTCTGGAACGGTAGTCTGCTGGCTTGCTTGGCTGTGCTGTGCTGTTTTTCTATTCCTCTTTGCAGCTTCTTTGCATCGTCCATCTACCCTCCATCCGACAACTCACCTCACGATCTCGTTTATGGCCCGACTCGCTATTAATTAATTCTCGTCTCTCGTTTACGCTGTTTCCTTCCTTATTTCTACTTCGACTCTATTGATCGATTAATCGACTATTATATTGCTTATTCGGTGTGTTGGTTCTGGTTACTTGGGGTCATTCGTCGCGCCGGATATAACATCACTTCGATCCCTTCCTATCCACTTGACCCCCGTCGGTGGATCGCCCAAGAGAGAAGCAAAATGACAACCCTCTGCACGACGCCAAACTCTCCCCCCGGTCTCTCCGCCTCCAAGTCCTCCAAATCCTCTTCCTTCCGCTCCTCCGACCAGCTCTCCGGCCCCGACGGCATCTTCGCCGACATCTCCAATTTCGAAGACATCGGTCTCGGCGATGATAGGTCGGACATTCAGTATGCGGATGGTGCGCCCCCCTGCGGCCGTGGTGGCATCCCCCGGTCGTCTACCGCTAGGCTGCAGGCCAAGTCGCCCCAACCCACCTCGCGCGACCTGACCGCCGCTCCCTCCAAACCCTCGAGGACGCCCTATCCGGCCCTACAGATCTCCCAGAAACGCAGCAACTCCCGCCTCCGCGCCGGGGGCACCCCCACGCAATCTCATCGCTCGCGATCCACCTCTCCCCTCCGACCCTCCGCCAACCTGGCCCCGTCCCCATCCGGCTCTGCCCGCAGTCCCTCCTTGTCGCCCGTCAACGCCCGCCCCCCCCTCAACCGGAAGCAGTCGTGGCAGCCCAACCGGAAATCCCTCAAGGATCTCGAGGAGGAATACCACGATTCCGACGAGGAATTGCCTGAGGATGCTAGTCTCTGGAACGTCCCCATCTCCCCGCGTCCCCTGCAGGAACGCGCCCCTTCTCGCGCCGCCAGTCCCAACGGCCGCAGTCCCGGCCGACGCCCGCTCCCCTTGTCGCACACCGACTCCCACCACACCCCTCTCTCCCCCGCCGCCCGCTCCCCTGGCTCCAAGCGGTCCAAACCCCCGGCCGCCGTGCGCTCCAGCTCCGCCGGCCCCGAACGCGGCCAGATCTCGCCCCGCAACCCCCGCGTCTACTCCTACAACAGCATGATGTCCGATCTGTCCGAGGAGGCCAAGATCATCACCGAGGCCCTCGAGTTCCACGCCGACGAACACGGCCGCCGCCGCGGCGAGGGGCTCCAGAGCGGTCGCTCGTCCGCTTCCAGCATCGACGACAAACGAGTCTCCAAGGGGATCGAGCTGCCGCCGGTGCAAAAGTCCAACATCATGATCGATCCCCTCCCCATCAGCAAGGAGAAGGAAAAGGTCCTCACCCGCACACGCCCCAGCTGGCTGCCCCCCAAGGACCAGAAGGAGGAAAAGCGGCATTTGAGAGAATACAAGCAGATGATGGCGCAATCGCGCGAGTCCGGTATGTCCTCCCCTCTTTTTCCATCCATCAAATCAGAATTGCTGACCCCGCCCCAGAAAAACGCAAGGCGGCCCGGGCCGTCTCGGCCAAATGTGAAAAGGACCGCACCCGCGAGGCGCTCCAGGAGATCTGGGATGCACACGTGTATCCCAGTTGGGACGCCGCTCTCGGTGAGGGCCGCACACGGGAGTTGTGGTGGCGCGGGGTGCCGCCTCGCAGTCGCGGGGCCACCTGGGAGCGCGCCATCGGCAACGAGCTGGCGCTCACCGAGGAGACCTACAAGAAGGCGTTGCACCGCGCCAAGGAGGTGCGGTCGGCGCCCGACAGCGACACCGGCGAGAGCCACAAGCGTATGCGCGAGTGGTTCGATGTCATCGACGCCGACGTATCCCGCGCCTTCCCGGACCTCCACATCTTCCAAGAAGGGGGGCCCCTGCGAGAAACGCTGGTCGACGTCCTCCAGGCTTATTCCATGTACCGCAGCGATGTGGGTTACATCACCGGTCTTCACGTGAGTTTCATTTCTCCCTCCACGATAACCTTATCACTAGCAGAAGCTGACCGGTGTGCAGACGATCGCGGCGTTGCTTGTGCTGCAATTTCCCTCCCCCGCGTCGGCGTTCTTGGCGATGGCTAATGCGCTGAATCGCCCCCTGCCCGTCGCGTTCCTCACCCTCGACCGCGGGGCCGTCAATCGGACGTACACGCTGGCGGCCGCGACGCTCCGCTACAAGTTCCCCCGCGTCGCGACCCACCTGTACGAGACCCTGCGGCTCTCGCACGAGGAGATCTGGGAGCCCATGTTCCGCTCGATGCTCACCAACGGGCTGGATCTGGAGCGCATCAGCCGCGTCTGGGACTGCTGGGTGTTCGAAGGCGACCGGATCATGATCCGCGCCGCCGTCGCCATCCTCGGCTGCCTGCAGACGCAGCTGGACGGGTTCACCCAGCCCGACGACCGGAGCCGGATAGCGGTGCGCGATATCCTCGGCTGGGGTCCGCGCGACGTCGGGACCAAATCCAAGGAACACCGCCACAGTGCGCCGGCGTCGTCGACGGGCGGGTTCGGCGGCGGACAACTGGCGCATGCCGGGGAGGCAGATTACTGGATCTTGGACTCGGCGGGTGATGAAGACGGGTTTATGCATCAAGTTCGGGAAGCGGGTAAGGTGCGGGACTAGGCGTTATCATCTTTCTACTTTCTAATTTTTTTTTTTTTTTTTTTTTTTGGCGCCATGATCATGCCTTGCTCTGCTTTTTGAATCCTCTACATCCCGACATTCCGTCCTCCACGCGCGGTTCGTGAGTTACCTACGGGTTTGAGTTCCTTCCTTCTTTCTTCTTTCTTTTTGTTTTTCTTTGATCTGCTCGTTGATATTCCCGCGTTTTATCTTCTCTGTCTCATCAAGATGAGTACACTCTTTTGTCTTAGTTTGAGTTCGGTTCGGGAGACGGATGGATGTATCTACTCTCCAATAGCCCAGATCATGTCCTTGGGCTCGATAATCACTAGTCACTATTATCATTATCATTATGCCATAAATTCAAACAAGCTATCATGTGTAGTTGAGCATGTATGGAATTGTAGCACTGATTGTGGTTTGTACATATTCGGTGAATAGGCAGGCGAATAGGTGGATATAGACAAGTAGATAGATACCATTCCATATTCTGCTCTCAGTGGCGAGATCGACGAAAACAGTCAAATACCTCTCTGCCTTGAAAGGGACGCGACCAGTTCGTTACAAGCACGCACATGAACATGAACATGAACATAGGGAGCTGAAACCAACTGGCAACAGTGTGTATGAACCGGTTGCATGTCTAACTCACTGTTCTATTGAAGTGTTTCCTTTACTGTAAGCATCATCTACCTACCTATCTATCTATCTATATATCTGACTAACATTCTTTACACACATGTATGTTACGAAATGGTAGATAAAGTTCCCGCTAAGCTTTTGTCGGCATTGGCATTCATTAGCCTTAATTAGTCTTAGCTGGGGTTTGTCTTATCCATCTATGTATCATCTACTAACTGTTCACGACTCTAGTTAGGGAGGGCTTATGATGTAAATGTGGGATATGATTTTCAAACGCGTAGGTAAATAAATATACTTGGTTGTGGACTTGCTTCTGGGTCACTAGTATGGTGCTTTGTGTGGATTATTTGTTGATGTGGGTGGATTGTTGTGAGCTGATAGATTGTGCATACCCCCACCCACTTATGCACCTGGTCTCCTGAAGATCGGGCGATCACTTTTCTATCTATGTAGTGATCTACTATCTCCTCTGTAGTATGTACCTTACTATATACTACTGTATGTACTGTTATGATTCTCTTGATAATGTTGAGATTTGCTAAATCTGTACTACCGACAAATAGATAAATGTATGTCCATCCACCCCACCCACAAAACTACCACGCGATCCGCGCAATCACACTCCCCGGAAACACCCTCACAACCAACTTCCTCAACTCATCCATCAACAGGATCCCCAGCGCCAGACCGAGCGGAATAAACCAAAACTCAATCGGCACCGACGCCGTCAAAAACAGCCTCTGGATACCCGGGACCTCCGTCACGAAGATGGCGATCGCGAGAGACACCGCCATCGCGAGCGGGAGCCACGGGTTGCGGCGCTCGCGGCGGAAGGGGTCCGCCTGGAGGATGGACATGCGCTTGTTGCGGACGGAGAAGATGTTGCCCCACTGCAGCATGACCAGGCTGACGAAGTAGACGCATTGGCCCGTGTTGTTGAAGTGGGTTAGCTCGGCTTGGGTGTAGCCGTAGAAGCCGGCGGAGTAGTTTTCGAAGGCGAAGACGAGGGCGTGGAAGGGGATGCCGGCTTTTCTGTACATGTAGAGGAAGAACATGCTGTGCGCGCAGAGGGTCTCCATGACGCCGGTGAAGAGGTAGGCTTGGTTGTAGATTTTGAGGTTGATGAGGTGGTCTTTTTTGGTGTTGCGGGGGGGCATGCTGAGGAGGTCGAACTCTTCTTTTTCCATGATGAGGGAGAGCGAGAGGAAGAGGTCGGTGAAGACGCAGATTATGATCATGAGGAAGGAGCTGAGTGGGAGGGGGACCCCGATGAAGACGTTCATGAGGACTGGCCAGATCTCGGACCAGCTGCCTGCTGGGAGGAGGTAGGCGATGACTTTCTGCAGGTTCTGGAATACGAGCCGTCCGAGTCGGATGGCTTCGGTTATGGAGTCGAAGCGGTCGAGGAGGACCAGATCGGCTGCCTCGATCGCCACGTCGCTGCCTGTCACGACTGCGATTCCTACGTCTGCTGTGCGGAGGGCTGGCGCGTCGTTGACGCCGTCGCCGGTTACCGCCACGACGCCACCCCGGGCCTTGAGCTCTTCCACGATGCGGAACTTCTGCTCCGGGGTCGTCCGCGCGAAGACGATCTCTTCGTATTTGTAGATCGTGTCCCAGTGGTCTTCGGCCAAGGATGAGATGTGGGATCCGTCGAGGAGGAGACTGTGTCGAGAGCGCGCCGCCGTCTGCTTTTCATCTGCGCCGAGGTCGTCCACGGTGTCTGGAGGGGCTTCGCCGTTGAAGATACCGACATCGGTTGCAATGGCCGCCGCCGTCAAGCCAAAGTCACCCGTCACCATGAAGAACCGGATCCCCGCGCGGCGGCAGTCCGCGATGGTCTGCGCGATCTCCACCCGGGGAGGGTCGATGATGCCGAAAATTCCGATGATGGTCAGGTCTTGCACGCCATTGGCCAGGATCTCTTCGTTCAGCTCGTTGGTCCCAGTGGCGGCGCGCGGGGTGTAGTTCCGCTGGCACAGCACGATGACGCGCTCTGCCCGCGTCGACAGTTTGGCTTGATATGCGGAGAATTGCTCCCTGGCCTTGTCGTCCAGAGCCTTGATCTGGTTGTCACGACCGCAGCGGTATGACGCACATTTGGGGAGAAGGACATCCGGGGCTCCCTTGACGAGCAGGCGGTATCCTTTGGCCAGAGCGGGATCTTTGTGCACGGTGAGCATCCACTTGTTCTTCGAATTGAACGCGATTTGATGGATCCTTTCATATGGCGCAAGATGGTCTTGGCTCGCAGGCTGCATTGTCTCCGCAAACCGTAGCACAGCAGCGTCAGTGGCGTTGCCAATGACTTCCCGGTCCTTGATGGGCAAGGCAGTCGTCCTCGGGTCGAAGAAGGCATCGTTGCACAGAAACGAGCCTCGCAACAAGTCCTGAAGATGCTCGGGCTGGTCCTCAAATTTCCCCTGGGGCCCGGACAGACTCAGGTCCACTTCGGCATCTAGTAGACCAAGCGATCTCACAGTCATCTGGTTCTGGGTCAACGTGCCTGTTTTGTCCGAGCAGATGATGTTCACGCAGCCTAACGTTTCCACCGTTGCCAGGCCCTTGGGAAGGATGTTGACCTGCTTCATGCGTCTCGCGATCATCATGAAAGTCAGAGCTACACCGACAGGCATGCCCTCGGGGATGAAGGCCACCACGCACCCCATCACGTTGGTCAACATCGTCACCACATTCATGAACTCGTAGTGGTCAACGCGCAGCCAACCGACCCAGGTGAACAGAATGAGAAGTACCAGGGTGAGGGTCAGGGCGATGATGATCATGACGAACCGCGTGATCTCCTTCTGGATAATCGTAGGTTTCTCCTTGACACCAACGGTGATTTTGGCGATGCGACCCATGACGGACCGGCTGCCCGTGAGGACGACCACGCCGATGGCATTCCCGTTGGTCACGCTGGTGCCCATCAAGGCAATGTTCCTAGTTTCGAGGAAGTTCGAGTCGGTGGAGTCGATTGCCCCTTCGATTTCATCCGCTTCGCCGGTAAGGATGGCTCGGTCAAACCGAACATCCCCGGAGCTTTGGAAGAGACGCATGTCTGCCGGGATCTTGTTACCGATCGAGATGTAGACGATATCGCCGGCAACCAGCTCGGTCGAGGGAACCTTGATCTGTTTCCCGTCGCGTAATACCAGAGCCTCCGAGGGGAGCAGGTTCAGAATGGAGTTCATCACCATCTTGGTCGACCAATCTTGGAAGGCGGAAAAGCTGGCTTGCAGGATGATGACGATGATGACGACAATGGCCATGGCTAACATGGTCGGGGACGGGGGGTCGCTCAGCGGCCTCCAACAGATGAAGAAGATAATGACACCAATCCATAGGATGGAGCAGAAACCCCCGAAGACATATCCTAGGATCTTCTTCAAATAGTTCTCCCGATGGTGGGAGATGACGTTCTTTCCATCGCGCTGGAGTCGAGTAGCAGCTGATGAGCTACTTAGGCCGACGCGACGGTCCACATTGAATTCTTGAGTCAGTCTGTCGATTCCAAGTACATGGTAATCCAGACTCTCAAAGTAATCCTGGTCGGAGTTTTTCGAGCTCTCGCTACGGGCTTTGAGAGTCTCCTCGGGGGCTTTTTGAGTCTCGGAGATCTGAATCGACAGGGTTCGGAACTCAATTGGGATACCGGCATTGCTGTTGCTTTGAATGCCCGCTCTCCCGCTTCTGGCGGTATCCCTGCTCAACGAACGGGGCCGACTGGGTAGCTGGGCCTGACCACCGCCAGTGAGGGTGGTCTCCGATGGGTCGTTGAATCGAATGTGGGTTTGACGGCCCAGTCGACCCGAGCGCTCATCGTCTCCCGTTTCCAGGTCTTGATCAGAAGGGTTTGCCATTGAACTAGTCTGGGTGGTGAGATGCACGTTCAAAGAGCAACGAAAGAAAGGACAGTATCAAGGCAATGTGACACCTGCTGAGATCAGACGGATCGGAGTGGAATTGAGCAGACGAGCAGAGGGTGGAAAAGAAGAAGACGTCCGGTCAATTGGGGGACCGGAGCGGACTGTTTATACCTCTGAGGAGGCCATTGCTAGCCGATCAAATCTATTGACTAGACTTGAGAAGGAAGGGCAACGCGAGAAAGAGTCAAGTGGGAAAAACGAAAAAAAAAAGAAAAGAATAGTCCTGGCCGAAATGAAACAATCAATCACGCTCTTCGCCTCCAAGGGCGGATCACGCTGGAGGATGGAGAGGAGAGAACCAGGCTGTGCAAGCCAAAGAGACTAAGGAGGAAACAGAAAGATCAACGAGGATGGATAACGAGCCATGGTACATTGTCGCCGTGGACGGATAGGTGGTAGTCAAAGGTGACGGTGGTGGAGTGGTTGAAAACGAGATGGAAGACGGACAGAGGTTGAGGGAATAATTCCAGCCAGACAAAGGGCCAGCCCATCAGAAATGACGGCGGATCCCCCGACCAATTTCCCTTCTGCTTTCGTTTTTTTCGTCGACTTCTTCCTCATCACGACTATACTTCAACTGGCGATGTCAAATGAGAGTTTCACGATCTCGATGCTGATTGGGCTCGGGAAATCCCCTCAGATCCCTTATGCTCAACGTGCGGCTTTTATCAGAACGAACCGTCGGAGTGTATACCATGCCCATACGGACTTCCCGATACGCCTCCATATGATTTCTCCACTTCCACGAGGCGATGGAATAGAATTCTCTTGGGGCATGCGACGTCGGGGAGCCGGGTTCGAGTCATCCACCACTGGCACCGTGGACAACTCGGTGGGTTGAAAGTACGTGAGTATCAAATCACTCACGCCACAGTCTAGATAGTTGACACCGTCCGGGAGAGGATTGAGCCACGAGATGACACTAGGCATCCACTTTCCAAACCGTACCATGTTGGTGGGAAGTGGGCGAGAGATTATTGGATGGTTTGGGCTATCTGTGGAAAGCATTCTGATAAGAATGGTTTATACTCTCCGTGACTTGAACTCAAAAAGCCAAACAAAAATAGCCAAACTCGTGGTCTGAAAGACTACCAGCATTCGCGCATCCCAAGTCAGCGCCATTTCCAGACACGAGGAAATCAAGGTCCCACTAACCGATCCAGGCGTCCAGCCACCGAAGCTATCGGCAATGAGATACGAGCTTGCAGAGAGTACCACCGGAAATCTCAATGTTTCCGAGACATGGACAAATAAAATTTGTCACAGCGTAAGACGCGATGTCGCAGCGGCACGGTCCACCATAGGGCTCAACGCAGCCGCACAGTCTCCGTCTCCCATGAGTGCACTGACACTTTCTGTCCACATAGGCGGGCCAGAAAGCGCCCCCCGTTTAGTGAGTGTCTTGTATTCATCATTGTAAACTGTCTGTGCACGGGGCTGAGAAAGCTAAGCACGTGGCGTAAGCTTCGACATAACCTGGATGGGAGTCTTAGTATATCTGCGTTCTGGTCAGGAACTGTATTTCCCTCCTTCTGCACAGAATAAGGTGCAGCTGCGTTGATGAAAACAGTTCTGAGGTACTACTATGACAGTATCAGACTGTTGAAATAGCATGAGTATCAGATCTTCCCTTTGGGGGTTCTCGGAAGACGTATGTAGAAGACTTACAGCCCGGTTTATACTTGGTATAACGGCGGAGGCATCTTCCATAGTAAGAGACAGCGAGGCGATGTCATCCTCCAGGTCATCAGCCAGATTATCGTTGATAGAGTCAGTCTGACAATGGCAAAGGGCCTATCTCCGGTGAGTGAGCCCTGAGAAGCTGTAGTGGTAGACGAGCTTAGATTATAGAATTGAAAGGTCATGAGAAAAAGTAGATCAGAGAAGAGGTGTGGCTCGAATCATCAAGAGGGATAGATGACCGTCAACGACAATACAGGTGTGGTGCTAAGAAGCAAGGAGTAATGAGATGAGGGAAATCAACACGCGCGGAAAATAGACGAAGGATACAGATACTGATTATACCTCATGCATGCCACACTCTGTACTTACTCCCCAAACCTCCCCAATTCTATGTATCACCCAGCATATGACAAGCAAAAGTACCACCACGCCATATATTTGTATCTAATATAAATCAAAAAGGGTATATAAGAAACAGCCTAGCCGTTCACAGCTTGGCCTTGCCTCCAAGGGCCTCACTAAGAGGCGTCACCTCCACCATCATTTTACCCGTATTAGCACCCTCGTACAGATTGACCAATCCCTGAGGCGCAGCCTCCAGCCCACCCTTGATAATATGGTCCTTGCGCTTGAGCTTGCCCTGCGCGAGCCAAGTCCCGAGATCCTGCAGCGCAGCGGGGTATTTCTTCGCGAAGTCGAAGACGATAAAGCCTTTCATTGTTACCCGTTGGGACTGCGATCTGTCAGTAGGTGACTTACTTTACGTATTGCAACGCAAGGGGAAACTCACAATAACGTTCATGAAGCTGGCCGGCCCGGTGGGATTCTTCGCATTATACTGGCTGATCGCACCGCAGATAGCAAAGCGGGAGTCGCGCGCCGCCCGCGAAAGACACGCATCCAGGATCTCGCCGCCGACGTTATCAAAGAACACGTCGATGTACTCCGGCGTCGCCTCCTTGAGCTGCTTCTTCCAGTCCGCATCCTTGTAGTTGATCGCGGCATCGAACCCCAGCTCGCGGCGCAGGAACTCGCACTTGTCCGCACTGCCAGCCAGCCCCACCACGCGCTTGGCGCCCTGGATCTTTGCGACCTGCCCGGCGACCATGCCGGTTGCGCCTGCAGCGCCGGAGACGACGACCGTGTCGCCCTTCCGCGGCTGGCCGATCTCCATCATCCCGAAGTAGGCTGTGAGCCCGGTCATGCCCAGCACGGACATGGCGTCTGTGGGCTGGCAGCCTGGCGGGACGACGACCTTTTGGGCTTCCTTGGGCAGCAGGGTGGCGTACTCTTGCCAGCCGGAGTAGGCGATCACCCAGTCGCCTGCCTTGTATTGGGTCTTGAGGCTGTCGCCGACTGCGACGACCTGGGCGATGCTCTGGCCGCGCATGACGTGGCCGCGCTCGACGGGGGCGATGTAGGATCGTTTGGCGGTTAGCCACTGGCGCATGGCGGGGTCGAGGGAGAGGTAGTGCGCGCGAACGAGAATCTTGTCGGCGGGGACATTGTCGGGGATGGTGGATGCGTTGAGCTTGAAGGTGCCGTTGGTCAAGGAGGGGTCGATGGCTGGGGAGGGCGTGTTGGCGTAAATGATCTGTCGGTTGTTGATGGGCATTGTGACTGTGGTTTGAATAATGAAATTCTTGATAATAGTGTTCGTACTGAGGATTGAAAGGAGGAGGAAAAGGACCTAAAAAAAGGTGTTGATGATGTTGTCGCTGAAGAGTAATCAAGGCCGCAGTCAGACTAATCGAACCTCGGATGTTTGTCCGCCAACCGAGCTTGATCTGGAGTGGAGACGGGCTTGGCGGGGAGATTTGCTGTGGGGAAGCGGTGATAAGCTTGCTGTTCCAGGCTATTACTCCGATCCCCAATCTGAATTGACAACTTGATTGGAATGGTGAGATGACCATCTCCATTTAGTCATTTAGGTGTATTGAGAGGTTGCAGGCGTCTCGTTCGGTCAACTATTGTGGAGCTACCTTGTCATAATTGGAACAGGTTTATGCCTAAAGTATATACGTCTTGGGAACTGCATAGCGACAATCTATGCTCTCGTGTAGTTATGCAAGAATCTATACCAGAATTTATACCAGAAGATGACATGTCGCCCAGCACCGGTATATATAGAGGCAAAAGACTCATACTTCCACGCCTGACTGACTTCATCGAAACCCCATTCCGTCTTCTTTTTTATCCCCTGACGACGAATCCGGGATTTGTCGCGTCTCTACTGCCCATCCGTGGTCGTGGGCATCGGGATTGGGCCCCCCGGAGAGTCTTCCTTTCGCGCAGTCAAGATCTCGACGCCGGTTTCCGTGACAAGTAAAGTATGTTCTATTTGTATGTCAGCATTGAGCATCATTTCGAATCTCCTGTACCCACCAAATTGAGCGGTCCATCTGCCGTCCACCGTGGCATTAGTCCAATCGTCCGGCCAGTAGACCTCTTTAGGATTTCCCAACGCCAGGATGGGCTCGATCGTAAAAGTCATCCCAGGCTTACAGACACCCACCGCTTTGTTCTTGCCGTAATGGGGGATCCACGGTGGGGGATGGAATTCAGTATTGATGCCATGGCCTCCCCAGGTGGTGACGATACGACAATCTCTAGACTTGGCATGTTGCTCAATCTCCTTGCCAAATTCTCGGATGGGCGTTCCGGGCTTCACGATCTCAATGGCTTTATCTAGACATTCCCGTGTTGTTTCAACGATTCGAACCGTGTCTGGGTCCGCTTTGGCTTTCTCGCCGATGTAATACGTCTCGTTGAGATCGGCGTGATACCCTTCATGATATAACGAGATATCGAGGTTGAGGATATCGCCATCAAGGAGGACCCGCTGGTCGGGGATCCCGTGGCAAATGACCTCGTTTGGTGACGTGCACAGCGACTTGGGAAAGTGATAATAGTTCAATGGAGACGGGTACGACTGTCCGTGTTAGAGGCTCCACGCCACCTGGCAAAGTGCTGCACTTACACCTCGTTCTACACAGGCCCGATGACACACCTCGTCAAGGTAGTCTGTGGTGATGCCCGGTTTGAGCTCGGCCGCAGTGATGTCCAGAACCTCTCGAGCCAGTCTACAGACCTTGCGCATGGCCTGCTGGCCTTGGGCGTCTAGAAGGTCGATCTTGGTCCGGCTCAGGCGCTGCTCGGCCTTGGGTATCCCGGTTTGCGCCCAGTCCGGGTGTCTGATTGACTCGGGGACGGCGCGCATGGGTGAAAGGGGATAGACGGGTCGGACTGGGCCGGTGAACGAGAAGGTCGGGAAAGGATTATACGTCCCATTTACTGGGTCGGATTTAGCGACAGTACCAGGCAGAAGGGTTTGGTGAACCATACCATGTTGTGTCTTGTCTTTGAGCTTTTGATGCAGGGACTTATGTTGATTCTAGCGCGCAGTCCTCGGTCAGTCCTGAGGTTCTAGAAGGCTGACAGCGCAGTGACAAACCCAATTCTTCTTGAAGCAGTCTTGGGAACAGAAATAACTGTCATGGAAGCCGAGTTTCAGACATGTTGGGCATTGTAGATTTCCAGCTTCCTTTCCGCAGTCTACTCCTTGACATTTTCTATCCGATGGATCGACCGCCATGGTGTAGGCTGGGAGGGGAAGTCCGGTCAGGTAGCAAAGAGCAATCACACCGAGACAAAGACGTTGCCGCCGCTTGTCCACGGCGTACTTTAGTCAAGTCACATGACCTTTTGGATGGTTGAGATTTATACCATCCCCTCTAGTAATCTCGCTGCAACATAGCCATTCTAGAAAGGGGATTATATCTTTACTAGAACCCAGACCGTACCTGATAAGTTTCGGTACACAACTAGCGGGCCTGAAGGTTTCGGGCCTCGACCCACATTGGATGCTTTGTACGGACCGTACCGAATGTTTGGATAGTGCAGGGATTGCCCTGATCAGACCGGTTGAAAGATGACTGGACGGTAGATTCTGACCAAAGAGGCGGGCCAGACGGCCTTATGGCTACGCTGAGTCGGAAAAAGCTTTTGAGGGAAGATATTATAGTGGTTTCTACATGGAACACAGCACACCATATAGGTGAGTACATGGTGCCAGTGGTTGTTCAACAAATACTATGGTCCCATTGTAGATGGTTACAAACCATCTATACTTATAGTTGAGCATCAGAATAAGTTGGAATCTTAAAATCATTGACTAAGTCTTACATGAATATATACTTTCAGCCTACTATTGACCATCTGTATTAACCAGTCATGAAGACCTACCTCTCTACCACTTTATAATTCACCAACCAGATAAACCAATGCCCTAAACAGCGTACCTCCTGCTTCTTTCATTGCAGGATTGTCTGATTATACCTATCGGCTACACCATTTGATTTTGACTCTGGACGCAGGCGACATGGAAAGACATTGATATGATCAGTATTTCTGCCGGATAGGCTGACTCATGTTCACAATGCTCGCAAGCGAAGTAGTACCCTGATTAGAAACCACTTGATTGTCAGTTCTTTGGCCCTGTTTGAATTGTTCTCGAAGCATCAATTGTCCATGCCAGTGCCAGCCAAATGACGTCATTCAAGATGATCATAACCCGAATGGGGGAGGGGACAAGAATGACGTCACACTGGGCATGATGTCGAAGGCGAGCACGTTTGACGGCGTTGGTATAAAAGCCACTGTTGGTTTCTCGATTTAACCATTTTAAACATCTTAACCTCTACGACTCATCCTATTACAAAGACAACATTGAAAACACCATGACTACTCAACCCCCGCACTATTCTTCCACCTTCGGGACCCCTCACCAGGATCCCAGCTCCACCACCCCGACGGGCACTCATCTAACAGGGGCCAACCAGGCGGCCTCTGAACACGACACCACGGGGGTCGGACACCAGACTGCGCCAGTGTCTAGCAGTCACCAGACGTCGTCAACTGGCGCGGGCGCGGGGGGCTCCGAGGCAGCTAAGAAAGGTGAACAGCTCGGACAGGGAGTGCATTCTACTGTGGCAGGAATCCATGTACGTTGAAGCAACCCACCACCTATCATTGCTCCATCAGCGCTAATATCAACAATAGGGCTTTGGAGAGAGTCTTCGAGGGGGGCTAAATGCGGCCGTTGACAAAGCCTTTGGCCACGACGAAGGAGTCGCAAAGAATGCGAATATTGCCGAGAAGGGCGAGCGAGAGGTTCAGTCTGGCCATTTTTCTGGTCATTGAGATATGATCGTTCTGCTTGATCGCCCAATGCAGGCTGTGCGGTTCTAATACGATGTTACGGACGAAATCATGTTTGATTATGACTATTGAAAGCGATGTACACTATGGAGCATATGGTTGATTTGATATGATGATTTGGCTGTACGATTCCCGGTTGAGAAACCTGGCCCCACATACACTTAGAAATATAACCACAATGCCCCAATCACCAGGCATGTGGCTTTCTTAATCTAAATCATACCAATCGACCAGTTTTAACTACATACTATACTCTATACCATACTCGATACTCCGTAGAACTAAACAGGACAGTAACGTGGCATCCCAATCGGGCTTAGCTCGCCTCCACACCCACGTTTCTTCCCACTTTCACCTTCACTTTCATCTCCATCTTTCTCCTCTCTTCTTTCCATCTCTCTTTCTTTCTATCCACCCATACTCTCTGATCACTAATGGGAATGTCACGAATCACGATGATCTCATTGACCACAAATGCCCCGTGGATGGCTCAGGATGAATGGTCAGATCCTGATCTCCACTATGACTCTACCGCCCACTGTGAGACCCGACGATCGGACTCAACCATGGAGAAGATTCCATCATGATCTTTCCAGAATACCAGAGCTCCGAACTGGTCGCAGACCACTTATCTCCACTCTTCACTGCCGTTATTGGCCGTTACTCGGCACCCGTTCCAATAAAGCCACCTAGTTCCAGTTGTTATTTCCACACGAAGAGGAAGTTTCACCCGGCCGTCCCGGAGGCTGTGTACGGAGGAGTGGAACCGGTTTGCACTTTTTTTTTTCTTATTTCTTATTTCTTTTTTAGTTTGATTTCTTACTTTCTGTCTTTTTTTTTATTCCTTTGTTGGAGTCGCCCGCACCTCTGGAATTGCTCCCGTCATCATTGACACATCTTTTCTTCCCTCCAGCCTTGTAATACAACCGGGCAATACTTCCCCCAGCGTAACTCCAATAGCGTCGTCGGGATTCAGTGCCCCAGGAGAACCCACCAACAAGCCTCGGGGCGCATCTACTCTTCTTTAGACCCCGTCCATGGCGCAGCTGGAACGCGTCCTATATCGACAGGCCGAAGTACGAATACGGTTCTCCAGCGCCCATCCATCTCAGACATTCTAACTGTTAGTGCTCCCTCCAGACCGCTTTCACATGTAATGGATCACTAATGCAATGCCTTCCTGCTTCACAGCTGCCAGCCTCGTTCGATTTCTTCGTCGTTGCGTGTCCATTGCGACTCGTCATAAAACTTACACACCTCCTCTGATTCGATCTTATCGGCAACACGATTTGCTATCGGGTTCTTCCAACGCTACCCCCCTGAATGCTACCAGAAAGTATATATCCGCTGCGTCAGATCAACCGACCTCAATCATGGCAGTCCCTGCAGTCCCATCGAAAGACCGTCGTGACCCGGTCACTGCCGCCGTAGAGGCCTCGCCAGACCCTGAACGTTTGCCCCCGCCCGAAACCTCGAGTTCCGACAGCGAGGGGCAACTTCTCTATCCTGCCGATGCTGCCCAGCAAGATGAAGCCAACGCGTTGGTCGGCGTCAGTATCGGGCGCGCGCAAAGTCGCATGAAAGCCCGCCGCACCCCGGCGGAAGAGAAAAACCGGATCATGGAACGCAATGGTGGCTACTTTGACGCTATCCCGGACACGGTCGACTCGGATGGGCTCTTCACCTCTCAGATCACCGCCGAACCAGACACCGTACCAGTCGCGGATACCCAGCCCGCGGCCCGAGGGCAAAGTCTAAAGTCCACGTCGGACCAAGCAGGAGCGCGCCCGGAGACGCCACCCGCCAAAGAGGCCGGTCGTTCGAGTTTCACACGGTCGATCTTGAAGAGCAGCTTGCCCCTCCGGCCGCGGGCCTGGTCCGGCGATTTCACCGACAGTCTACGCCTCAAGAGGTTTCTTCCCGACTTGGGTTCGTTGAGCTCGTTGGGTTCCTTGACCAAACGGTCGTCGTTGTCTTCTCGCGGAGACTCGTCTCAGAACCGTTCCCGGAGTCAAACCCTGAAGCCCACCCCGTCGAGACTCACCGTAGATCGGGAGGCAACACCGCCGCCTCGACCGCGGCGCAGGTCCCTCACCGATCAGGACCGAAATAGTGTTCTCCTCGATGAGCCGGTCTCCGAATTGCAACCTCTCAGTGGGGCGACGGCGGCCAAACATTCCTACACTCGCCGGCCCAGTGTGTCCGTCACGGGGAGACCGCCCTCACTCCACCGATCCTCGTCGGACAGGTCGTTGTATCTAAGAGCATCCTCCACGGCTTCATCGTTGGATCAGCGCCCGGAGTACGAGAATGTGCACACACAAGTCAACAGTCGGTTCAAGGCCATCAAGGACAGTCTGCAAGATTCTAGCAACCGCCTGCTTAGCATGCCCACGTTGCATCTGCAGGACTTGCGCAATGACTGGGGATACAAGCCGTTTATGTCTGATGTCTACAACCGCAAGGGGAACAATTACGCGCAAAATCCCGAGACTTCCGCAGACGATGTCAAGGCTATTCCCTCGGCACCGCCGCCACGCGTACGCGTTTCACGAACGAACTCGAATCCATTACACCCCATCCTCTCAGAGGCTATGGCGGAGATGACCGGTGACGTGGTTATCATGGGAGGGTACCGGGGGTCTATTCTTCGCTCGGCGAAGCCGCCACAACGGCAGTTGTGGGTTCCCATGAAGGTCGGGTTGAACCTCCGCAAGGTCGACCTGGAAGTTGGCCTGGACCCGGAAGACGAAGAACGGATGGAAGAGACCATCATTCCGTCCGGTGTGCTGTCTCACATCGGACCGGTTGATATCTGCCGCCGATTGATGAAACGTCTGCAGAAGTGTGACAACGCCCTTGACGGGAAGCTCCGAGTACACGATTATGGGTACGACTGGCGTTTGAGTCCGCACTTGTTGGCGAAGAGGTTGATCACCTTTCTCGAAAACCTCCCGTGCAATGCGCCCGATGTGCCGCCGGAGCGCAGGGGCGCATGGGTCATCGCCCACAGCCTGGGCGGGTTGATTGCACGGTATGCGGTCAACAAGCGACCCGAATTATTCGCCGGAGTCCTCTACGCTGGCACGCCGCAGCACTGTGTGAACATTCTCGGTCCCCTCCGTAACGGTGATGACGTCCTACTGAGCTCGCGGGTACTCACCGCACAAGTGAACTTCACCTTCCGGACGAGCTTTGTCCTTTTACCAGAGGACGGCCACTGCTTCATCAACCCGCAGACCCAAGAAGAGTACCCGGTCGACTTCTTCTCTGCAGAAGCCTGGGACGAATATCATCTTTCTCCTTGTGTCAACCCTGCGTTCCCGCCAATGCACAGGCCATCGGGGTTCGTGGACAACATCGGGAAGCGCTTCTCCACCGTCTTGAGCAGCAAGGACAGCATTTCGACAGACGAAGCCAGCCAAAGCGAGTCGCTTCCGCAGCCAAACGGCAATCACAACCCTCGATCAACAAAAACCTGCCCCGACTTCACCAACACCGCCCTCGAGCACCCAACAGCGATCAACCCCCCTCTTGAGGGTGCAGTCGGCCCCGTTTCCAACATCCGCGACTCTTCCAGTAGAGCCACACAGACCTCCACCATCCCCTACGCCAAAGCAATGAGCTACCTCGAGCGCACCCTCGCCGAAACCCTCCAATTCAAAAAGGAGCTCGCGTTCAGACCGACCCACCAGTCCAATAACCGGTACCCGCCCACAGCCGTCCTCTACGGCAAATCCGTCCCCACACTCTACGGAGCACGCGTCACCTCCCGCGAAAATATCAAGCACCAAGACGCTTACGACGACCTGGCCTTTGCCGCAGGCGACGGCGTGTGTCTCGCATCAGCGGCAATGCTACCCCCGGGCTACCGGATCATCCGAGACGGGTTGGTCAAGAGTGACCGCGGCCACGTCGGTCTCTTAGGCGACCTCGAGGGCGTCGGACAATGCCTAAAGGCTATTCTCAAAGGACGGCGCGAAGGCGTCGGAATGGGAAAGTCAGCCCCATAAACACTCCCATCCCTCTCCTTCTGGCATTTGACTGGCGTTTCCTCCTCCTTATATCTACCATCATTTTTTGTCTGACTACTCTGTTCACTTCAAGCCCCTCTCATCTCTTGCATTTTCTTTTCCATTCATTTATCTAAATACCCAACCCATGTTAACCTACTTTTTACTAAACCTTGACCATCTGTTTACACTGATGTTACACCCAATCATTGCAGTATCAATGATATTGACGATGGTATCTGAATAATGAATCACCCTATTCATCTCAGTCATCTCTTTTGAAAACATGCATACCCAGTCCTATGACATTTTGATATGTGCAGTGGTTTTGGCTTTGTCTTTTGTACATTCTTGGTGCATTTCTCACTGTGTATGTGTGTATATGAAAATGTATTGATATCTATAGAGTCATAGATAGAACTAGCATCATCATATTGTGCAAGAATTGGAACCGAAAGAGAAACAGTCTATTCTTGTGATTTCCAGGTCAATCTACTCTTCAGGAAGAAGTAGTTATCCCCTAAGATAAGACATATAAGACGAGATATAACCTACTCCCCGCATTATATAATAGTAGGTAAGCAGGTAGGTAGGTAGGTAATTCCAAGCAATACCAAGCCGAAACAGACGTAAAAAAAAAAAAAAAAGAATATAAAAGGATAACAAGACGGACGCGCCTATATCAACCAAAACGGGCAGATCCCAAGTCCGAAAGTTTTTCAAAGCTTATAACCATAAAAAAAATCTAGAATGATATAAAATGAAATAAAATAAACGAAAAGAAAAATCTATCCAGTCCGCGAATTGGCAATAGTGAGCACCAAAATATCCGACGCCCCGACCTTGGTCAGCTCGTCCATGACGGTCGCGACCTTCTTCTTCTCGACCATGGAGCTGACGGCGACCCAGCCGTCTTCTTCGAGGGCGGTCACTGTGGGGGCGCGCTTGCCGGGGGTGATGTTGGATGCGGTGGCTAGCTCGGCGCGGGGGATGTTGTATTGGCAGAGGACGTATTTTTGGGCGGCTGTTGGGGTTAGATTTCGTCTTGGCTACACATTTCTATAATGGAAGGATGGAATGGGGGGAGGGCAGAAGGAGAGGGGGAGACGTACTGATGACACCGTTGATACGGGAGGTGATCAGGTCCACGAGGGGGTTCTTGGTGTTCTTGGACTTGACGAGGACGGAGGTGCTTTCGACGACGGTGTCGATGGCTTTGAGGCCCGCTGCTTTCATCGTCTCGCCGGATTCTATACAGCCGTTAGCTTCCTACACTTTTATCTGCCGTCGGGACTTGAGAGCTCTGGATAGAAGGGGGGAATACGCACCGACAAGATCAACAATACCATCGGCCACACCCAGCGCACAAGCAGCCTCCACACTCCCACCAACATACTTGATATCAGTGCGAAGGTCGCTCACATCGCTCACACCCTCCAGCTTGGAGAAGAAAGCACCCGTCAGACCCGTAAAGCTAGTCACGATATTCCGGCCAACCAGCTGCTTCGCCTCCGTGATGTCGCCCTTCACCGGCACCTGCACCTGCAGCTTGCAGCCGCCGAAGCCAAGGTCCATGATCTCCTCGACATTGGAGGTAGAGTCCGCAGGCAGCTGCGCATCGTGCTCGGCGACCTGGTCGCGGCCCGTGATGCCCAGATCGACGCGGCCTTCGCCGACGAAGGTCGGGATGTCTGCGGCGGGGAGGAAGATGAGTGCGATGGGCAGGTTCTTGACCAGGGCGATGTCGAGGCGCGTCTCGCGGCGAAATTGGATGTCGCAGCCGGCGAGAAGGTCCAGGGTGGATTGTTGGAGACGGCCCTCTGTTTGTGGGGATTGATCGCATTAGCTGTGTTTCCTGAGGTCATGTTGTGTGTGGTGTGTGTGTGTCGGGGGGAGACGTGTGGCTTCGCGGAAGTAGTGAGTCACGGCGGGAGGGAACTTGCTCTTAGGGACGGCGAAGATGAGTCTTCCTTCTAAGCTGGGAGTATGTCAGTACTGAATATGTTTTTTCGTATATAATAATGCATTATATAACTAGATAGGAGGCCATTGACTCACTGGTTGACAAGATCCATGGTGAGCGATGATCGGAGCGCGGGGCAATCGGGAATTAATTCAAGTATTGATCTGACGCAAGGGATGATTAAGGGTGACTAAAGAGGTCAGTCAACTCGAATTCCTCAGGCGAATGAGAGGATATCAGAGGGAATAGTTACAAGGAATGCCCGGTGGGAGGGAGGGTTATGAGCGACAACGCGGCGGAGTGGGGTGAAGGAGGAAGAGAGCGAAGTCGCTCCGCAGAGTCTGAGTGTGGAAGAGATGGAGGGGCCGCCAGCTTCCTCAGGCCAGCTTCCCGCTCTCCAGTCTACTCAGTGACCTCCAGAGCGAAACCACAATATATGAGTGATATTATACATTCCGAGATCCTGACATGATACTACATACATACATCCATACATACATCCATCTATTTTCGTTTCCCTCTTTCTGCTGGCCATCTCGTCAGACCAAAAGAGGTTGATGCCTAAGGCAGCATGCCCCGAAGTCATGACAGCCTGATGAATCAGGCCACCAGGCATCCAGTCTCGCGACAGTTGAGAAGAGCGCGATAGGATCCATGAAGCAATCTACAACTGCTCCGCACTCCTCACAAGCCTCTCCATCAACCCCTCCTCCTTATCATCCTCCCCACCACCCCCAACAACCCCCCCAACAGCCTCAACAAGCCCCACCAACCTCCTCCTCCGAATACTCGCCTCCAACTCCGCGCTCTTCACCTTCGCCAACTCGATCAACGAGCCCGGCAAATTCGCCAACCGCGCCACATTAAGCCCGTAACTGCGGTGCGCGACGCCCTCGCCCACCTCATACAGGAACGTGATGTTCTCGTCTGATTCCTCCGTCCCGGACTCCGTGAACCGCATGTGTACGTTGCGGAGCTCGTTGTCAGGGAAATTGTGCACCATGGATGACAGGTGTTGGTAGTGCGTTATGAAGAGGGTGAGGCTGCGAAGCGTTCGCACGATGTAGTCGAGCACGGCTTGCGCGATGGCCACGCCGTCGTGGGTGGATGTCCCTCTGCCTAATTCGTCGAGGATGACGAGCGAGCGCGGGGTGGCTTGCTTGAGGATGTCGGCCGTTTCGGAGAGCTCGACCATGAAGGTGGATTCGCCGGCGAGCATGTTGTCGAAGGCGCCCATGCGCGTGAAGACTGCGTCGAGCATGCCTAGTTTGGCGGACTGCGCGGGCACATAGGAGCCGATTTGGCCCATTATGGCGATGAGGGCGATTTGCCGCACGTAGCTGGACTTGCCGCCCATGTTGGGGCCTGTTACGAGGAGGGCGCGGGTTTGGTCCGTGTCGAGGGAGATGTCGTTGGGGACGTAGCTGTCGAAGAGGAGCTGCTCGACCATTGGGTGGCGGCCTTGTTCCACGTTGATGCACGTGTGGTCTGTGTATTCGGGTTTCACGTAGCCGGGCTGCTCGGCGATTGTAGCTAGCGAGAGGAGACAGTCGAGGGTGGCGAGGGAGAGCACGCAGTCGCGGAATCCTTGGTAGTTCGTTGATATCTCGGCCAGGAGATCCGCGAAGGCCTGGTCGCAGGCGGCTGCTAGGGCCTCTTTATGCTGGTCTCGCTGTCGCAGCATCTGGATGACTTCGGGGGTGTGGAATCGTGACACCTTCTTGGTGCCGTTGATTTTCACCCACGAGGCAGGCACCCGTTTGATTGCCGCTCCGCTGTTCTCGACCTCGATGAGATGGTCAATGCCGGAAACCGTGGCGTAGACGACCTTGCGCCCGAGGGCTTTGCCTGCGTCCGCGCGATGCTCCTGTAGCTCGTGCTCCACGCTGCCAATGCCCAGCTTCTGCTCGCTGATCTCCTCCGTTTCCTCTGATTCCCGGAAGAACTCGTATTTATCGTCATTTCTGGCCGCGTGCAGGTTTATCCGCTCCAAGAACGAGACTACCTCCTTCAAAATAGTCGGCAACGAAGCAATCGCTTCAGTCAATGTCGGCGACGTAAACCCGCTATCTCCAGGAGTCTTCACGTCGGAAAACTCCTGCGCGATCATCTGCAGCGTCTGCAGAAGCGTCAAGAGTTCCGGCCGCGTGCACTATGTCCCAGTCAGCAATGTCCCTCCTCCTGCCATCTAGGCAACTCACCTTCCCGTAATATATCCGAATCAGGGACTTCTCCAAATCTGTCCTAATCCTCCCAATCAGCCCCCTCAACCGCTCAACCATAGTACTATTCTTCGAATCCTTAAGCTCGCTCACGGCATTAACCCTCTCCTCCAACTTTGTCTTATCCAGCAACGGCCGCCCAACCCACTTGCGCAGCATGCGCTGCCCAAACCGCGTGCGCGTGCGGTCCAGCGTCCAGAACAGGCTTCCTTTCGTGGTGTGGTCTGTCTGGTTGTGGTAGATCTCGAGACTCATGAGCGTGTTGCCGTTTAGCAGCATGTGCGTCCTCGACGAGAAGTGCTGGAAATACTTGGTCAAATCAAATACATGCTCCAGCCCGTACTCCTCCATGTGCTTTATCATCGCGGATAGACACACGGTTACTAGCTCGGGCAGATTCAGCACCTTCTGCAGAAGATCGGCGCTGTGCGCGTCTCCGGCGCCTTTATCTGCTTTCATCTTGTCTGCGTAGAAGCTCGATATATGACTGTGTGCTTCGGCCGCTGCGGTCTTCGACTTGGGTGCTCTCGCGACGCGGATATTGTCGCCCAGTATGTGCGACTTGCTGCCTGATAGGTGCTGGACGAGTTTCTCGGTCGCACCGGACAATTCCCCGACGATGACCAGCTCACAGGGCGCAATATGCAGCAATCGGGTCTCGATCTCGCTGCGCATAAACCCGTCTTCGAAATCATCGTACACCACGTCTCCTGTCGTAGGCTGGACAGCCACGATGCCAACATGGACCTTCTCGTCGTTGCCCCAGCCCCGCGCGTTGGACTCGGAGATGCAAAGCATGTAGCCCGTCGCGGGGGATACGCCGCCAGATGTAGCCGGCACAGGGCCCTCCAGCCCTTCCATGTCGTCCACATATGTCGCTTTCGTGTACAGGTTCGTGAGCTTGCGCCCGAACGGCGCGTTCCGGTTGTCGCCGGCTGCTTTGAGCGCTGCTGTCTCGATCTGTCTCACGATGCCGACTTTGTGCCCGGCCGTGACCAGCCGTTTCACATGAACGTGCAGTCGTTGAATGGGGATGCTCGCCGACGCGAACCGACTAAGATGCGCTTCTGACGGATCTGAACAACACAGTACTTAGCATAGACCCCACAACCACAACCATAGCAAAACATGTTGGACACTCACGTTCATCAAACCTCATTTTCCCCGGAATACAAACAATCCCCAACTCCCTCGCCGCAACCCTCGCATCGTCTCCAAAAAACCGGAACTTATACCCCACCTGCACTGCCAAAACGGCATCCATATGGCCCCGCTTGAACTCGATAATCTGCTTCTCCAGCGGCGTCAGCTTGCTCCCCGCTTTACCAGCCGCCGTTCCTTTCTTGACAGGGCGCTGTGGTTCATCATCCTCGTCAGCTTCTTCGGCGTCCTCCCCGCCGACGGAGGCGTCATTCGTCGCGCTGCGGCTGCCGATTCCAATAACGCAGTCTGCGCCGCCGAGTCGGCGCACGAACTGTTTATGTAGCTTCTCACGTTCTTTCTGCCGTTGGCGTCTTTCCGACTCGTCTCCCGCTTCCAGCCCGTCTCCGCCGTTGGCAGGCGAACTGGCGAATTTGAACAGCTCTGTTCGCTGGCTGCTATTTAATTGCGGTTGTGATTGTGGTTGCGATTGCAATTGGGATTGCGGTGGGCGGTCATCCGGCGATGGTCGACTAGGACTCGAACCCGATATCCCATTCTGCGCCCGCTGTCCATTTGCATTCATCCTTGCTCTCTTCGCGGCAGGTCTCACCACATCCTCATCATCATCATCCTCCTCCCCCCCAATTCCAGCCTCACCCGCGAAGTCACCCTTCTTCGGCACAGCCACAGCCTCCTCAATTTTATTCTCCCCCGACACAACACTCTTCACTGGTCTCTGTGTAGATCCATTTTCCTGGCCCTGCGATGCTACTTGCGTTTTCGATTGCGACTGCGATTGCGACCCCGTTTGCGACGATTGCGGTTTCTTAGTAAAGAAGCTCGAGATGGACGGCTGCTTTCGTTTAAGATGCTGAGAAGACGAGGGCGGGGATTGGGATTGGGATTGTGATTGTGGTTGTGATGAGGGTGGCATTTTCAAACCCCTGCTTCGGAGGCTCTTGGTGGATGTCTATATAAGGCCTGTCGTTTATCGGCTTGGGGTGGACTGGATTGGATTAGATGCTTTAGGTCTCGAAGTGACTAGCAGGGGTGGCGATGGGATGGTTGATCGATTGATTGATTGTTTAGCGGCGGATCAAAAAGCTTCGGTGGAAAGGTCCCCGTGGTGGGTTTCACATCACAGGTTATGGTATGTGAGGATATCTGGTCGCATGCTGTGTAGGAAAAGAGTTTATTGTAGATCCAGTGGCAGCGACTGTCGATGGCCATTGCACATCCGCACCTTGACGCGTGACGCGCTCGGCGTGTCAAGCTCATTAAAGATGATTACTTAAGCATATACATCATGGCCTTGATACCTGTCACAAATTGTACATGATTCTCCGTGTGATTCTATCAATACTATTTAACTCAACATGAGATAATGTTTGTATCAATACAATTTGCATCGTTCGAAGTATGGATGCTGCTATACAGATGCCGGTGTTAATATATAGGGATGACTGAAAGTAGCCATCACCAATAGCTATCGTCCATAGTACTTCCCCAGCTAGGGACGGCGAGCGCTATTATCTCTTGCGTCGACGAGAGAATATCAACGAGACTTCATGGCGATCAGCTGGTAACTGATGACGGAAAATGACTGTTCAATTGATGCTTCCGTCCAAATAGAGCCGATCAAAATCATCTTCTTCCCAGTCGGAAATTGTCCCGTCAGGAGAAACAGCACGCAAGGTGGAATGAGACTTGAAAGACTGATTGACCTCGGCAGCGTATACAGGGTTATCCTCGTGTATATTCGAAAGCGAAGTGGCCAAAGGATTGTATGAGTATCCCAGCAGACTGTCGTGGCTGTCGAACGGGCTCAGCCCCATCTGCTGCTGGGAGTCACCAAAGAAGAAATGCGGGGGATAACCTGTGTTGGCAGCAGGTTGTCGCCTAAAAACAGGCGAGTTCCATCCCGCGAGGGAGTCAACTCGGCCATGACCATCCATAAGAGGCTCAACGTTTTCTTTGTCTGTCGAGGGAAAAGCACCTCGTTCATGGATCGAGTGATTGGTGTTGTTGTTGTACACGAAATGAGGCGAATTTTGGTCAAGGGCACTCTGGCGGAGAGAGATGGGGTCGACGAACGCCGGCTCTTCAGAGCCTACTTCACGTCTCTGAGCCATCGAATCAGACATGTATGGGGCTTGTCCGTCGCGAAAAATCTTCAACCCGTGGTGAGATCCGCTTTCCTGAGTCCGGAACGTCAGCGTGAAGTCATCAAGACTGTCTGCCCGAGAGCCGCTTCTGTAACGGACAGGCAGTTGGGCCAAAGGACTCTGCAACAGGTGTAGGCCATGGAAGTCTGGGTCTTCATCGACTTTTCCGAATGCTTTCTTGGTGGATCTCTTGCTTCGTTTCCTATTTCCTCCTTGTCGAACATTCGGATCGGTTTGAGCAAGCGCACGCTTGGTTCGGATTGTTCGCCGTTTCGGAATCGGAGTCTCGCCTTTTAACGGGCTGCTGTCTTCAACGTTGCCTGAAATCACACGTTGCTTCCGCAGGACGCCACTGGGCGAGAAAACAAGCTCTGTCGGTTCGACACGCAGTGACGTCTTTTCCATCATCTTCAAGATCGCTTCATCTTTCTTTTGGTTGCGCTTACGCCTCATGTGCTCTGTTGCCGAGTCGAAGATGTCCATGCCCGGCCAAAGAACGCCTTTCAGCCGGGCAATCTCGTCTGCCCTCTCCTTGTCTTCTTCAACACCGTCGGTGTCATCGGTGAACGGGTCGTAGCTTAGCTGACGTGCCAACGATGGAGGGCTTGGGGTTGTCGTATGTATATGTTTTCGGGCGAGTCCGTACGGACTAGCATGTGTCATCGAGGCCCACTGGTCTTCAAAGGGAAGCGGGTACTCTTGCTTTGGTGGGTTAGTGTCTTCCTGTGGTGTCGTCAGTGCGAGGCTATAATCTTCGCGTTGATATTCTCGAATGCTCTCTTCCGATGGTGCCATCGAATTGAAGTGTGAAGGCCCGTTTGTCATTCCACTTTCTACTCCAGAACGTGGGTGCACATATGGACTCGACAGGCGTGGGTCCAAGTAGTCGGGAAAAGCGTTATGAACTAGTGGACGTGTGGTAATGGGGGGTAACCTCCCCCCATCACTTCGTTTCACTCCACGAGCCTTCTCATAGCTGGGGGCCTTTCCTTGAGCCTTCTTCTTCCGAACATCCTTCGACGACATCCGGTCCGACAGCAACTTAGCCAGATTATTGGACTTGTACCATCGATCATATTCGTCGAGAATGACAATAGCCTGGGATTCCTGGTGGCTGCGGACTTGTAGTTTGAAGTAGTGAGAAAGGTGAGCCTTCGACGCAACATGAGTCAATAAGTGAGAGATATCGCTGAATTTCGGCCGTTTCGGGCAGATATTGCACAACAGCGTGGTTGTATCCATGGTGTATAAGGTCTAAAGCGTAGAGTATAATATAAGGGAAATCAAAATATCGAGAAGCAACAGGCACGATCCACCAGGTGGTAGTTCCTTTCTCCAAGTATGAACGATTCCGGTATGGGACAAGAAACCAAGATAGAAAGACTGGCCCTGGGACAAGATTGAGGATTGACAGATGATTGAAGCAGTGACGAAGGAAGAGTCCAGGCAAGCAAGAACTTGCCCCCAGCAATTTCCGCTGTCATCGGATTGAGCAGGTGGTGTAGGAGGGAAGGAGGAACCTACAGGGCAGGGGAGAACGTGACATGCTCGATTGGGAAGGCAGCAACCACAGCTACCCTAAGCAAGAACGTAACTATAGACATAGTCCTGAGCAGGCACTCCCGCAATCAGTTTTCCGCTAGGCCTTGAAAGCATTGCCGGAAGGGTGACAAGTGAAGGACAGATGGACAGTATCATGGAAGGTAGGCAGGAATGATAGCTAGTATTATCATGAATGAATTCAAGCTTGTCACTATTTAAACATCTACTGGTGAATTGATGTGCCACTGTGTCTTAACAGCCACTCGACAGGCCATTGTGAGGGGGTATGAAGCGGAAATAAGTCACAGTGCCAATTGCTCTTCTCCCGCATTGTATCCCATAGTCCATGGAAGTAGAACTAAAGGTTATTAGATTGCAGGAGGTGGTACTACGCTGTAGACACCAGAAGGCGTTTTGCACTCGGAAATGTTTCTACCTGATATGCTTTGCTGTTATTGACTTTGGCATACAACTGGTCATAGTTAGTCGTTGTTCTGGATGGCAAAGGGGACAAAAAAAGCATGGGTTCTTACTAGACAGGGTCCACCTCCTTGATGCCATCAAACCCCAAGAGGCTGAGACCAGCAATGGAAAAATGAGTATGGAACACATCAACTACATTTCCAGGCCTGTCCCCGAACCCGCCATTCTCAGGGTCCTGGTATCGGTCAGCGGGATGCACGTGTTAGAAAAGTATCATACTGACCTGACAACGCAGGATGAAGGCGGCGAGCTTGCTCCCATCGATCCAGTGGAGTCGATCGATCATCGCCAAGCTCGCCCCAACCCACCAGCTGTAACATGCATCGGGAAGCTTCTCAGGACGCCCGTTGAAGCCCCCTTCCTCCACCTGCCGCTCACTGAGCCAGCCACCTAACCGGTCCTTGTTGACCAAGTCCAGTCGCTGGGCGATGGCCAAGGCACCCACACAGGTAAACACCTGGCCCGCATGGGATTCGGCGCCGGGGCAAATGCCATAGCCTCCATCCAGGTTCTCACACTGCTGAACATAGGCAACCGCCCGGGGGACGTCAACCGTCTCAAGAAGGCCCAGGAGAGACAAGGCATTCAAGGCACCGTACAAGAAGCGGGTGTCCTTCTCGCCCCATTCGTCCCCCATGAACGATCCCGTCTCGCTATCTTGTAGCCCTGCGATATCTAGGTCATTTAGCACTTCCCGCCAGGAGTGAAGTCAGATTCAAGTCAAATCGTACAAGAGGCCACTTTCTGTTTGTTTGCTCGTCCACGCTTGTCCAGTTCATCTACCGCATCGAGCGTTACGAGGACTTGCACGGCCGAAACCGTGTACAGCATGTGCGCATCGTGGCCGGGGGCCGCCCCAAAGCCACCGCTTTCGTGTTGGCACGAGAGCACAAAGTCGACGGTGGCGTCCCGAGGAAGTCCTTCGGGACAGTCCAGCAGATGCAGGGCGGTTAACCCCCAGTAGAGCCCATTTAACCGAAGATGCTCGGTGAGCCAGTACTCCAGCTCCTCCCTCCTCTAGCATCACATGTCAACCACCTTCCCCGCCATGAAGAGAAGAGTCATGGTTGGAATAAATTGACGCACGCTGTCCAAGTTTTTGATGTAATCCACATGCTTTTGAACACACAGGGGTTGATCTGACTGTGTGTTCTGCGTTTTAGCAGGACCTGATACTGAAGTCATCCCGGGCAGGCGATGACGCGGGGTAATAGTGAACCCTTCCGGATTGGTCAGTTGGAGACTAGCTGCGTCCAGCTAGCTAATCTCAAGGCGGTATATGCTATAAGTGCGACCGAACCAGACAATGATAATTTCAAAAGTCAAAAAAGGGGGGAGGGGTGAGGGGAAGTGGTGACGAAAGCAAATGATCCCTAAGGATGAAGCAGCTTCACGCCCGGTCAGTGTCAGTTAAAGTCCAAGTGTGGGATTAATCCATTCTCAGGAGGCGGTCCATGGAAAGGGACGGAATGGAAAGGACCCTTGGATGATCCGGCAGGATTTGGAATTATGGATAGAAGAGATGGACCCGAATAAGGACAACCTTCGTTCCTGAACCCTGGTGAGGGGGAGAGAAAAAAAAAAGGTTTGCAGGGAAGAAGCAGCGGGAAGTGGGAGCCTGAGAGGTCAAGGCTTGCCAAGGGGGCACTGCACACGTGATTTTAGCGCCGCCGGAGAAGGAAGTGGGGCCTCGGTGCCTGAGTGTTTCAGAAAGGAGGAGAAGAGTTTCGACGGGCGGTGTGAA